CACTAAATATGGAAGAATATAAAAACTTTTCTTTCATGCTTCTGTTTTGTTTTTATTTTTATTTTCAAAATTTAAAGATTTGATATTAATTCTAGATTTGATCATTTTATTAGATCATAGAAGCCTTTTTTTTATTCTCTTAGTTAAATATATAATATTTTTTTAGTAAATGACTTTTTGACAATATGACTCTAAATATGATCATATTATTTATTTTTATAATATATATTATGATTTCAAACTAAATAATGATGTATTTTGGTATAAAATTGAATAAACTGAAAACCAATATATAAACCAAATCAAACTGAAGTAAATATGGATTTAGAATAGTAGTTATATTTTAATAACCAAAATACTGAAAGCCGATATCCAGATTGAACATCCTTAATCTAGATGAAACCGAACTTTTGTTTCATTTTCCAAAACATAATAAAAATAATAACTTCATCCCGCGCAAGGCGCGGGTCTTATCCTAGTTAATGTTAAGAATTATGTTTTTCATTCTCAAAGGTTGTGAAGAATGTCACAAAAAGGTGCATCCTTCTCTTGGTATCTACATTAACTTTTAAAAATTTGCATATTTTAATACTCGTGCATTTCCAATTCGATTAGTTTTAAAAGTCCTACGGTTGCAACTTTCAATTGTTGTTATATACCTATTCATCTCTAACCATTTAAATTTTTAAATGTTATATACTTTACCACTCATACCTTTTTAATTCTATTTAAAAGAATATAATGCTCGATGTATCAGACATGTACGTGATCAAGGAGTTGTCTCCTCCGCTATTAGCCTTGTTCTTTTGATAGACGCTGGACGCAGCGTCAGCGGCTGCAAATCTCACAGTGATTGCTTCGTGTAAATAGACGCGGATAATGATGATGAGATAAAAAGTGTCGTCGTAACAGTAAAAGCAGTAGCCGCTGTGAGTCTGTAACTGCCGCTAAAATTTTTAGCGATCATTTATCATCTGAAATCTAACGCTGCGTCTCTTTTAATTAACGTTGACTCAGTGGTATCTCTGCAATCTTGCTTTTAAAGCAACATAAATACAGAGATAAACAGAGACGCTGACCTGGAATCTCTGCAATATAAGGCCGTTTTTGGCCTTGATTGCCCACAAGCCTCTCTTGTGGTACATTTGGGAGCGAGAGTATTTGCCAACACCCCTGATGAGATCAGGGTTTCGGCTCACTTTCGGGGTCCTTTGCTTCGCCGGCAATACAAAGATAAAGAGAGACGCTGACCTGGAATCTGCGTTTACAAAACGAACGGGACTATTATGAATTTCATTAATCATAAAGATAAAGTTAAAGACGATGGCGAACTGTGAGAGGAAAATCAATACATAAAATATTGGATGATGATGCTTTCAATAGATCAAATCAGTGTGTGTTTTTTTTGTTTGAAGGGGCATTATTTCTTTTTGAATGTTTGGGACTGCGTGGGAGGAGATGGATGAACAACGTCTTATTTTTGGAAAACTAACAATCTATGTCCTAAGATTACTTACCGATTTGACTTATTTAGTCTCTTGTATTGATATTTCCCAAGTTTTTTTACAGCAGTTAATTGTTATGTCTTTCTACTCAATTCTTATTGTGCTTTTCTGTATTTTTGTTAATTGGTATTTGATGTTTTGCCAGTAGAACTGATATGCGAATCATTTATTTAAGTTCTATTGATATCCCTTTTCATACATGGATGTATAACTAATTATAATTGATGCAGAATTGTTCAACAAAATCCAGTTAGGTTTGAACGAAAAAGGTGAAAATGGTTCGCTGAAGAATTTGATTACGTATTCCCAGAAACTAATTGTTTCGTTACACGAATTTATGAATTTGCTGATATGTTAACTATACTTTTATTTTCATTGAGCCATGTTCATATGATACTATATTTTTGACGTCTTTCGTTTGATACTTTAATTAGACATAGATACATATTTTATCATATATTTATACCATACAAGTTAGCATGTAAAATGTGTGTGTTTTTACTGAAATTAATAGTAATGTGTAATTTTGTGTCAGTCGATTGGAAAAATGTGTAATTTCGTGTCTTTCATTATAATGTCAAAAATTGTATGTTTTCATTTTTATTCTTTTAAGAACTGTATCTTTTCATTGTAAAATACAAATTACTTTTTTAAAAAGATGTAAAAATATCTCAATTAATATCTTTCTATAATTATTAATTTTAAGAATTGTGTTATTTATTTATTCCAAATTATTTATTAAAAAGTTGTTAAACCTAAATAAGTGTCTTTTAATATTTTTTCATTATGTAGTAAGTTGTCTTTTAGTAATAATGTTTCTACTCAAAATAAATTGTAAATATACTAATTAAAAATAAGTACTACAAATCTCGAAGATCATGACTACATAAATAGTCACGAGTTATTAAAATGGTGAAGAAAAAAATTGTGTGTAGTTACATGGTTACAAATTCTTAAAAGATATTCACCTGAAACGTTGTTGATAGTATAAAAGGTTATTTGTGTTTGCAAAAAAAAAATAAAACGAAATTATAAAGTTATTTTTCTTCTACTAGATGAAATTTTTTTTTCTTTATTTACAAAACTGCTTTTATATTCATGTATGTTCCATGAATACATGATTCATGTCATATATTATCATATAAGAAAAATTCATCAAAACATATTAACTAATATATGTCATTATATTCGGTGAAAAGCTAACAAAAATATTTTTAGTGCATTGTTTTATATTTTTAGTTTGTGTATTTTATCAAAGCAAAACCATTCAATTTTCCATGTGTGTGTAAAAATATAAAGTTATCGAATCTTTATGTGTTTGTATAATTATTGATTCGACTTTGTATCACGTGTATAATGTAGATCTACAAAATAGAAAATTTGATAACATATAAACACAAAGAAATTTATTTGTTATTGTTGTATCTTAGGTAATAATTTAAATGAAATGGGTCATGTCGACATAAGTTAATATACATTTATTATGATATCAAATTTCTTTAATATTCATGAAATAAAGCATATAAATAAATATATTAAAAATACTAATTTTTGTAAATATTCAAAATAGTAATCCACGAAATCAATTGTAAAATTTTATACAAAATTTATTAATATAAAATATAATTTATTTGATTTTATAAAATGAGTTTTCGTGCGATATCGCACGGGTTCCTTACCTAGTTTATATAAAAATATTTAAAGGATATATTTTAGGATTGTTGAACTTTTATTAGTCTTGAGGATATTGTAAAATTAATTTTAACTTTTGCTAATTTAATGTTTTATTTATCATTTAGGATCTGCATTTTTAATTTTGTATAATATCGGGAATATATTAGGACTGGCACTGTACACTGTAGCGTATTTAGTTTGAAATTTTGTATACTAAATTTCGATTATGGGGACTGCGTAATTACATTGAACGGATATGAAAATATAGATCTCAGATTGAGAGTGGATTATCAATATATAGATGTCACCCTTACCTACCAAAGTATGATTGGTCGAGGAATCGGAATCTAGGAAATTTAACTGATGCTAAACTTATGGCAGATAGTACGTTCCAACGTTAATATTGCTTTATAGGTTGATGGACCATCTGAATCAAACATAAAGATCACAAGACACCGTAATCAAAGCGTTTAAGCGTATGTCAAAAGCAAATCTATATAATAATGATTCACTTTTGAAGCTCCTAAGGTTATCCACATCAGCAGCCAATTGGATCCCACATATTTAAATTTTAAAAGCTTATAGTTTTTTTAAAATGACTATGAACAATGAATACACTTTAGCAAAGTGGTATAAGACATCTAATTAAGTCTGCAAGTGTGTGGATTCAAACCACCAGCTGTTATGTATTTTAGTTTTTTCGTTTGGATTATTATCATATGGACTTTTTAGTTTTAATGTTTTAATGTTTTTTTTTCTCTGGACTTATTGTTTAAAGCCCCAAATAGTGGAAAAATTCTAAAGTTTGACGAACTTAAACCCAAAAACAATTAAAAATGAATCAAAAAACGAACATCCAAAAAAAAAAAACGAGTTTCACGCGGTACTATCATGTCTTAATATATATCATATGTGCTTTTAGTTTGGATTAGTTTTTTCGTTTGGATTATTATCATATGGGCTTTTTTGTTTTAATGTTTTAAAGTTTTTTTCCTCTGGACTTATTGTTTAAAGCCCAAAATAGTGGAAAAATTCTAAAGTTTGACGAACTCAAACCCAAAAACAATTAAAAATGGATCAAAAAACGAACATCCAAAAAAAAAAAAAACGAGTTTCACGCGGTACTATCATGTCCTAATATATATTTTTACTGTTAGAGCATATTTCCTAATATATATTTTCAAAAAAATTATGTATGTGAAATAAAATAAAAAAATAGTTTTGTTATTTATAAAATAACTATGTAATTTCTCTTCAATTTTTAATAGTTACTATAATTTCATTTATATTAGACTTCGGCGGATGGATTTCCACAGTCGATGACGCCGTAAAGAAAAATAGCACATTATTCATGAACAAAATCCAAAATTACAAAAAAACATATCCAAACCTATCTATTGAAACCCAAACAACAAATATTAGCTTAAATTAAAGTTATTTTCAAATTGATAAATCGTTTAGTACAAATATAAATATTATAAATAAATATTTATATCAAGTTTTGACATCCGATATAAAAACTATTTCCAACATAAAAAAAAAACAATATAGACATCTATTTTTATACACTAAAAACTATATTATAATTTAGTTATTCCTATAACTTATTTCGCATATAAATAACATTTAACACATTATATATACAATATTTTCACTTTGTACTCTTGCTACATTCTTTCCATTTCATCATTATTTGGTATTATTAGAATAACCCACTAAATTAACAACCGAAAAAACATAGATCCCGGCCCCGCGCTTGCGCGGGGGTTATGCAGCTAGTATCATTAGAAGTTCACTTTTATTTACTCAAATAAAAGAAATTGACACCAATAAAAAAAATGAATATAGAAACCTTAAAATTACAATAATATATGCGAAATTAAACACAAAGCTGACGATCTTTCCACCCATGAAAAATTCTCACAACCATTATGTTAGGTATTTCCAAACAAATGCTACATAGACAAACCTCGTAGGACACTTAGTATCTACAAGCACCATTGCTTGGGTTGTTCCCTACCACAACACCGGTTCCGCTGAAGTTACACGACCCATCAGTGCGACCATTCTTCTGGAAATAAGCGTTCATCACAAAAGAAGCGTGCGTCCTTACGCTGCTCGGGTTAAAGCAAGAGCCACCGGCTTGGATCGGTTTACAGTCAACACCTCCCTGACTACAGACCCAATCAATATTCCCTTGTAACTGCGCATCACTAGCTCCCAACTTAGCCACACACCATTTACCACCGGCAGTACTAGGAGCAGGCAATGCTGGATCTGGCCGGGCGCCACCACCACCTTGTCCGTTTCTGAGGAGACCAGCATCGTAAACCGGAGAGAAATCTGAATGGAAAAGCCCCCAGTTTCGCTCCGCGGTTGGACCGGGCTTGCCTTCTTCATTGAACAGACCGAAAATGTAAGTCTCGAACCGTCTATTAGGCATGAGAGGTGTTCCTTGTCTTTGTGAACGTTTGATAATGTTGCGGTTGAACCAAGCCGCGTTTTCAAGAGAGCACCAAGGTGCATCGCAGGCAGACGGCCAGCCGGTCTCACCAACGACGATGTTAACATCACCGTAGCCAAGAGCTTTCATGGCTGAGTAAGTGGCGTCCATGAGAGCATCGTACATGTTTGTGTAGATTTTGTGGGTGAACGGGTCACGGACCGCCTTGTACGGTGAACGGAAGATGGCGAAATTGACGTTTTTGGGGTCGAACCCGAAGTAAGGGTAAGGGTTAATCATGAAAGGAGACCTGGTTCGGCGATGGTAAGCTAGGATTGGTGCCAGTACGGCTTTGTCCCAACCAGGTCTGAATCGACCACTGCTTGGTGCACCGTTCACGTCATAGGCTATGATGTTAAGTGAGTGTGCGGTTGTAACCTGAATCCAGTTGCGTAAAAGATGTACATTAGACTAAAGTTATTACTTATCAGTCGGTAACAAGTTACGTACAAATATGATGTAATGAAAGTAAGTCTTGTTTTCGGATATGTCATCAAATTAACATGTCCTAATGTAAAGACAACCTTGGACGTTCAAACAGCACGTGGGATAGTCTATATTGTCGGAACTTTAATAATTATCATTCGCTGACTTTCTAAATAACAAAGTTACGTAAACAAAAACACTTCGTCACTTGGAACATCAAAATTCAAAGCAGAGATCTTCAAAGACGCATCAATTTTTTCTAAAATATTATCTAACAAATTAGACCTGATAAGAACTGAAATTAGTATGATAATGACATGGAACTATAAATTTAATTTAATTATTTACCAAAAATAGTAAAAACCTGGAGATTATGAAGAGAAATAAAAGAGAGACAAAACTGACCTTAACATCTCTGACACCAGCACGAACCAAAGCTTTGTTAAGATTCCTCATCGCCGGCAAAAGATTATTGATCATGTTGTTATCTCCGGTGAGCAGAATCTCATTTCCGACAGAGATATACTTGATCTTGGTCTGAGGATGAAAAGGCAAAATATTAGCCGAGACCCATCGACGAGCTTGTCTCCCGTTAGCTAACGCCGGAATATCACCGTTAGGGACGGTGACAACGACGGAAATTCCGGTACCGGCGAAGGCACGAAGGATATTGGGATCCACGTTGAAGATCTTAACACTGTCGATAGATGTCTGAGTCTTGAGGAAATTCGCCACCTCGGTCGGTGGTGGGAGGTTTCCAAGAGTGCCGTAGTTAACGCCTATGGCAGAGATCACGGCGGGGAGGGTGAGACATACGGCGGCGGAGAGGAGGAGGAGGAGAGAGGTTGAAGGTGGCGCTTTGGCCATTTTTTTTACTATTTTTGGAAAACGGAAAAATCAAACGATTCAAAGTGAAACCCGAATCGTTTGAGTTAATTTTTTTTTTCCTAATGACGAGAGAGTTAGAGATTATTGAGAAACTATATATAAGAGAAATAAGTAGATAAATTGTTATGACCGTTTGTATAGGCGTGTACGTGTGGTATTAGTGTATATGTATATTTTTAGTGACGACCAGCTTGATTTTCTTGAAAAAGAAAAGGTATTGTTGTCTTTTTAGTTAATTTGGCTAAGTATTGTTTTTTATCGTTTTTTATCTTGTCATCTTTTGTGCTGTTAATACTAAGATTATTTAAATTTAATCCAAATTTTAAGTTTGCTTTGTTGTTTATCTCAAAATTAGATTATCTGATTAGTTTTATGATCCTAATTTTAAAGTATATTTTTGGGGTGTTGCTTTTATCGGACATGCTTTTAAAAGAAAGTATATTTTTTGATTAATTTGTTATTAATGTAATTACCAAATGTATGATTAATTTTAGGGGTCAAAAATCAATACTATTAAAAGAGAAGGAGTCTAAAAAAATCTACCTTTACAAGTTGTTTTGGACCCTTTCCTTTTAAATTTTTTTTGGTCATTCCCTGTATATTATAACATTACGACTACTCATTATTTTTACTACTATTCTACCCGGTTTTAAATTATAATAACCATTACAATCTGTTACTAAACCATCGTACCAAAAAAAACCCTAATAACTCATGATGTCTCATTATATAATCTTTTTTCAAACGATGTTAGGTCTCCTTACAAAACCTGTTCACAGTTAAACATGAAAGACACACTGCTACATCTTCTATGGTTGATCTTAAAGATTGTCCCCCTGCTACATCTGTTACGCTTGATCTTAAAGATGATAGTACCTGTTTGTATGAAGTCAACTCATGAAAAGGTATAAAAATTCAACAACACATCGAATTTCATGTTCACATCTTTAAAACATAATCCGCCCTTATGTATCCATGTCTATGTCTTTCACATATTATTTTAGTGTACTTTAATTACAATTTCAAAATCTCATTATGGTTTGAAATCTGTTTCAGGGATCCGCAAAAAAACATTTTGTCCAGCTTGATGATCAAGAAAACTCCAAGTTTATGTCATGGATGGAGAATAACAAGTTACAGTATGAAGTAGAAGATTTTGGGAATTCAGATTACCATGCCAAAACATTTTATGTTTGGAATCCATCAACTAAAAAATGGGAACAAGAATTTGAGATTTGAAGCTGCTTATCAATGTAGTCTTTGTTGGATTTCTAATTCTATTTTTTTATTTATTTCTATTTTTATCAAAAAAACAATATCCCAAGTTCTTATTCGTTATAAACATTTGAAGTTAAAAAATAAAGTCAATATTGAAAACAAATATGATCAAAAATACCCAAATGAGAAATAAATATTTTATGATCATCATTAATAAACAAAAACAACTATTAACGCGAATATATTGAGAATATGCCATGTGAATATATTTTTAGATTTGTTTACTTAAAAAATATTATGATATCTTACCCAGAAAAACAAAAATCTAAATTACTTCCCCTACAAGTTTATTAATTACGGTTAAATATTCAACCTACCTTAATTCTCTCAACCAAAAAATCTAAACTACGCGTTCTTATTTTTAGATTTGTTTACTTAAAAAATATTATGATATCTTACCCAGAAAAACAAAAATCTAAATTACTTCCCCTACAAGTTTATTAATTACGGTTAAATATTCAACCTACCTTAATTCTCTCAACCAAAAAATCTAAACTACGCGTTCTTCTATTTTCTGAAACCGAAATTGATTACAAAATCTTCTGCCATATCTTCTCTTAACCTACCCCGAGAACAAGCCTCTTCTATTATAAATATACACTACATCGGACCCTAATCTACCACCAACTCAATATATCTTTTACACTCACCAAAAAAAAGCCAGCAAATCATGGTTAACAGTATGCAGATGACATTCTTGAAAGATATCAAACCTCGGTTGACTACTTGGCGTGTGCAAGTCAAAGTTCTCCACTCGTGGAGACAATGGAATAAAATTTCTGGTGATTCATTGGAATTAATCCTCTCTGATGCAAATGTAAGTGTTTTTTTATTTATAGTTTTGTGGTTATAGATCTATATTTTCCTATATTTTAAAGTACATTCACTAACATAAATTTTCGATCTATACTCTGAAATTTGAAGGGTACGAAAATCCAAGCATCGTGTAAAAAGACTTACATGGAAGAATTGTCTACCAAGGTTCCTGTTGGAGAGTGGATTAACATTGACCACTTCAGTTTGGCTCCTGCTCCACGTACCTTTCGAGCAACAAAACATCCATTGAAAATGAATTTTATTCACAAGACTACCATATCGGAGTCAACACTTCAGATTGAAGACAATTTTCTTGATTTGGTTGATTTCGAAACCATACAAAGTGGCAAACCTGATCCAAATATCCTCATTGGTATGTGTTTATTGATATAAATTTAATTAGTTTTATAATCATATAGATCGTGGTCTTTTAACAAAAGCTGTTTTCAGATGTCATTGGCCAGGTTTTAGACTGTGGTGATCTTGAGACAGTTCATTGTACTGGAGGAAAAGAAAAGACAAAGTTGGAATTTACACTCAGAGATATTTCGTAAGTGTTTTTAAGAAGCATTAGTATCTTACGTTTACCAATGTTGAACACATCTTAATTCTTATGATGTCTGTACAGTGATCTAAGGTTACCTTGCTGCCTTTGGGAAACCTATGCTGAGAATGTTTACACAGCTTGCAAAGAAGCTGAAGATGGATTTGTTGTATGCCTTCTAAGATTTGTTAAGATTGGTCATTTTAGAGGTACCTATATATAAAAACTATATCCAATATAAACAGATTAATCATAGTAATCTTGGCATATAAACTTTTTTATATTTTTGATGTCAGGGGAAGTTCAAATCTCAAATGCTTATGAATCAACTCAAATCGTCATCAATCCTGACATTGAGGAAGCAGAAGCATTTAAAAAAATGTAATTTCTTTTAAGCTTTCTATAGTTTACAATATGTTTATAATACCAGAAATTTATAGAACTTAAATATTGTTTATACAGCGACTCTGGTGACAGTCAAGCCATTACCATATCAGATTCGGGAGATAACAAGGTTGAGAAAAGAATTGTCAGCAACAAGTGGATGCAATACCAACTGAAAACTCTTGGAGAGTTGTTTGAATCTACACAGGTAATATATATTTTACCCGTATTTTTATCTATATTAGTAGAGAAATATTGTTTATAGATGTCTTGCATCTAATTTAGAGTATTTTTTTTGTAGATTGAACCATGCAGAGTTGTTGCAACTATATGTGACATTGATACTGATTGGGGTTGGTATTATTTTGGTTGCCTTGATTGCAACAAGAAGGTTTTTCAAGAGTCAAAAACTGTTAAGATAGTGAATGGAAAAGAGGTTCTCAGTTATGTTTGGTGGTGTGAAATATGCCAAAAACTGGTGTATACCGTAAAGCCAAAGTAAGTTTCTATGTGATTTAATATTGGTTTACATAGATCCATTTTATTATTAGATACTAATAATTTTTTGGTATACTGGATATACAGGTTTAAAATTCATTTGTTGGTCAAAGATAACAGTGGTGAATCATCTTTTATGTTGTTGGATTCAATTGCTAAAGGTGTTATTCCTAAATCTGCTGAATGCCTACTGAATGGTTCATTTGATGAAGTAAGAAGATTACTAATTATATTTGTGTCTCGCGTATAACATGTTAATGTTTGAAAACTATTACTAATTTTTATGTTTCTTCAAGCTTGAAGAAGATGCTGAGTTTCCTGATGCGATTACATCAGTGATCGGGCAAACTTTTATGTTTGGGATTTACATTGAAAAAGACAATGCTACTGCTGGAGGGGTATGCTACAAAGTTGGTAAGGTTTGGAAAGATCTAAGCTTGCTAAAGATTGGTGGATACTCAGAATCCTGTTCTGAGCATACCAACAGTAATGTGGCTGAGGTAAAGACATGTATATGATCCTACGTTTACTTTGTATTGACTTAACTCTGTGATACTTAAATCCCTAAATTCCCTCTTTTCATGTAGGCACCACTTTTGCTACACGACAGTGAATGTTATGAAACTGCATCTACTCCTTCATCCAAACGTAAGAGTCAAGAAAACAAGGACAGCCCTGATATGACATCGACTTCAAAAAAACCATGCACTAAAGTGATTAAGAAGGAAAAGAAGTAGTCGAGTAGTTGAAGATGGGGGTGTTTTTTAGTTTAAATTAGTTTTTTTCAGCAAATCTGTTTTTTAATTGTTTTTTAATTCCCGTTCCTTTCATATTTATCATAATAAGAGATCCTCTTTCAGTTTTCATTTTTTTGGCCCGACTAAATATGATATAAAGAGATATTCATCTAACCTTTAATTTAGGAAAGTATATTACCTTTCACTGAAGAGATATGCATTTACCAATTTGCACGATCATAAGAGATTTTTTGTGAATAGATCCTTCCATGTTCGAACCTGCAAACATACACGCAAATGGCTATTTAATTCTATAAAATTAACCTGATGTATATGACAAAAAAATTAACTACATAGTAATATACTAAGGCAATTCTAATATATGGATGTGTGATAAGATCCTATAAAACTTTTGAATTGCATTAATGATATTATTTTAATAACAAGAATCCATATTTTCGATTCACCTTTCCTAAAAAATGGTGTTTATTTTATAGATTTAACTTATTCAAGTCTAACCTAAATTGGCGTGAAGTTCTATCAAACTGTTGCTTTTGTTCTAAACGTTTTTCTTCCTATGGAAGACGACACCAACAATGAAACTGGGATAACTCCTAACCGTTGTTCATCACGAAAAAGGAAGACGAGTGCTAATGGTTGTTCAGTACAATCAAATAAGAGGAGTAGTTCTGTTTACCCTCGAAATTCTGAAAATACTAATA